TCGTAAATCTACCTTGTGTACTAAACCTATACTCACTTTATTGAAACAACTATCGGTGCCCCAATTAATACCTCAATTTGTATCTCAACTTATTTTTGTGGCTCACAAAAGCCCACTTCAATAAATGAATTGTCCCACTTTAATGAGGTGCTTTTGTGAGTCACAAAAATAGGGTGAAGTACAAATTGAGGTACCAATTAGGATAACTTTAGCATTTTTTCTTTTTCAAATGTTACTCTGTACATTTTACTCAAAAGATGGAATCATTTATCCTACATACGGCTCTAGGACTATGTGCATTAGGGATAACTCTTTCAACTAAGGATGAAAATAGGGTGGATTAATTCAATTCATTGGAATGGGGTTTGATTCCCATATATCTCCAGTCCGGCACTTACATAATTCTCCCCACAATATGACAAACTTCAACATGGAAGATCACTACTTTCCTCTCTAACTCTCACAATCCCCAAACAACAATGAGGAAGCTAGACATCATTCGGAAAGAATGAAACCTTAGCTAGATCGGTATGGAGGGCAGCAAAAAAGCTCTCCTAAGATATACCAGGGCTTAAAATTAAACGATCATGCATATTATAAGTTACTCGTATTACTCTTAGAAGCTCATAATAAAGTAGAATAACAAATTATCAAGGAGCCAAAGTTCATTGGGTTAAAATTTTACATATTAAAATTTACAAAAAATGATTAAATGCATAATTACGTTTAGGAAAATAAAAAGTTTGCATGAAAATATAATATCAGTATCCAAACATTAATACTCCGTATTTCAAAGATCGCTACGTTTGATTATGACACAAGATTTAAGGTAGAATAGTAAGGGTAATGAATAATATAGAAAAAGTAGGAGATATTGGAAAACTAGAAAAGAGAGGATAAAAAGTAGAAAAAGTAAGGGTAATTGAGTATTTTTAAAAGAAAAACTTACCAAAAAGAGAAAGTATAGGGAACTTTTAAATACATCTAAAAAATGAAAGTGTATGAAACTTTTAAATACGGAGGGAGTATAAAAAATGTTAAATATTTTTCACCCTTACATAGAATTCTTGAAATTGTGCAACGCAAAATATTAAAAAAATGTTCTACATCCATTTACGTTTAGTCAAACCATTTACCTACATGCCTGTCGCATGCACAATATATATTTATTTGATTTCACCTCTTATCACGAAATTAATTTCACACTTTCCTTTTTGGGAAGTCTCAAAATTAATTTCTCAGTTCCTTATTTGGCAAATTATTTAAATCAAAACAGTGCAAAACAATGTCAAAATAGTGCCGAAATAATGTCAAAACAATAAAATTTACTCATCATTAGTAAATTTATTTCCCTAATATGTGTAAAATTCAAATGGAAAGTCTGTTTCTGGACAGAGGGAGTATCCCTTTGGTACACGTACCAAAGAGTGAGAAAAATGTCCAAATCATACTGTATGAAATTGAAATTGTCTTCATAGTGTGATTACATACACTAGTAATTCATTATTATGCTCCAAGTGATGCTTCACAATGATAATTAATGATGTGACTTGTGAACACCTGATTGCACATGATAACAATATCGATATATTGTTATCATCACTTGAATTGGCCGGGTCGCAGTTTTTTTAGTTGAACAATAATACACGAACATGTGACAAATTACAATAACAATAAGTGATTTATGCTAATTGATTAGCTATTCGCTTATAAAGTCTAATATGCCCATGATAACCCAACTTTTAAAATGATATCTAACCATATTAAACGAACTTAAACGATTACTAAACACATGAATGTCTATATATGTATGTTTTATGAGCCACCACATTGAGGGATCATAATAAATCATTTCAGTTGTGAAATATGAAGGTGTGAACTTATATTATATTTGGTAATACCTATTTCATGATTAATTATCAATCTTATCATTCAAATATTATCAAATACCTATGTTTTGATATCGCACACTGACTAAATCGGATTAGATCAAAATAATATTGCAGAGTAGATTTAAACATTAGTAAAATGAACATAAAATGAATTTCTGCCACATAAGATTTGAACATTTAAATCAATTAAAAGAAATCTAAAAGTGAAAGTCGAGTTTTGTGGCAACGCCCCTAAGAGGCGGGATATGAACATTGATCCAAACAACCAAGCCAATAAGAACCAGTTTTGTAACAATGTAATTAGTTGAATGAGGTGGTGAAACTATTGAAGATTCTGAAATGGTGTTGAAATTGTCGAATTTTTTGAATATGTCAAATTGTGAAAAATTATATTAAAAAATGTATTTTATTAATATAACAGTGAAAATATATATGAAAAGGCTATGGCAATCTTCAATTCCTGTTATTAAGGAAAAATAGTAACATCAATATTACTTGTTTTTATTATTATGTAATTGAACGTGCGAAATCAGAAGCTTAGAGTTGGATAAAATATGCTGTTGATAAGGTTAATAAAACGAAAAATGGATTACCATATGTCCTTTAAATGAGATGGAAATAAACTTTTTAGTTTTCATGTATATGAACCAATAAATATACGAAATTTCCCATCCAAATATCCTTAATTATTCCTTAAACATCATGACAACTTTCATACTCCGTATATAATTAGGTCGGGTTCAAATGCTTAGAAGTTAGAACATCATAATGATCAACATGAGTACAATTAAACCGTACGTTAATATTGAACCCACTAAGAGCCCGTTTGGTAGCACCAAAATCGGCTGTTTTGGCTGATTCTGCTGAAATTTATGATATTCTGGCTGGAGTGGCTGTTTTGGCTGATTCTGCTGATTTAAGAAAAAAATATTTTAAAAATATATTTTATTAATAAATTAAAGAAAAAATTATATGTAAAAATAGCTAAAATGGTCCTCTACAGTAACTTCAGCCAATACAGCCAGAAAAGTAACTCCAACCTTACTTTTTCGGCTTATTACACAATTCAGCGCGCGAAAGTAAAAGTTACGTGTTTGGTGTAAAAGCTGGCTGATAAGCCTGATAAGCCAAAAACAGAGTTCTCCAAACGGGCTCTAAGTAACAAACCTTATTTATGACTTTTTAAGCTTATACATTTCTTTTTTATTCTATATATTTGGACGATTTACATCTCTTAGTTAACAAAAATATGAGTATGTTTGGATGGGAGCGGAAGGAATTGAAGAGGAAAGTTGCGAGGAAGGGAATGGGAGAAAGAAGAAGGGATTTAGTGATTTTTGTTTGTGTAATTATACTTGTTTGGTTGAAGGGGAAGCCATTAGCTAAACATTTTATCGTGTAATTTTTTTTTCTAATTGAGTGGACGGGAGCACTCCCACAAAAAACCTTAGCTCAGCAAAACATTACGAGCTCGTTTGGTAATTGCCAAATCGACGGTATTGACTGATTCTACTGAAATTTATGAAGTTCTGGCTGATGTGATTATATTGGCTGAGTTTGTTGATTTGTGAAAATTAATAATTTAAAATACATTTGATTAATAAAATAAAGAAAAAATTATATGAAAAAATAGCTAAAATGGTCCTCTACAGTAACTTCAGCCAATACAGCAAAGAAAGTAACTTCAACATTACTTTTTCTTATTATTACACAATTCAGCCCGTAAAACCAAAAGTTACGTGTTTGATGAAAAATTGATTTATAAATCTGAAAAGCCAAAAATTTAATCATGGCTACCAAACGGGCACTACATGTCTAGTATACATTTCAAGCTAATTTGAAAAAAATTTAGTTTGAGGACATGCATATATTTCATAACTAAATTTTCACGAGTTGAGTCTCTGATATAGAATAGGATTAAAAAATCAAGTCACAAATAGCACGCCTAATTAGTTATTGATATTATCCATTGGTCACTTTATTTTTAATTGACCTTTTTATTGCATTTTTCTCATTTTCCTTCTCTTTATTGTTGTTCCAAAAGGTGGAATCTCCCACCCTAGGAGCTCCCACACCACAACCCAACAAAATGGTGGAGGAGTAAGTCACGGTGACTCAGTCGGCCCAATGATGGTAAGTCTTATACCCGTACGCACCAGAGGTCCAACTCAGCACGCAGGAGCTGTAAGCCTGTAACTTTCACACAACCGCTGCATGTTTCGATCCTTGGTCATTGTTCCAAATTTCTCAACTGAGCTACCGGCCGTGCGGGTTTTTCCTTCTCTTTATATTGATATACATGGAGTATTTGTCAAAGGAATTGAAGCTATGAGCCTATCATACGTGCCTCTTGAGTATTGTTGCATGCTTTAGCTATACATAAAACAACAATGCTTGATGTACTCACTCTTATACCCACCTTATACTCACTATGTTTTTGAAGTTTTTTTTGTCTGTGAACCGGGTTCACAGACATTATTTTATTTGTGCAAAATATTGTTTGTGAATCGGAGTTCACAGACAAAAGAGAAATACTTCACAAACATAGATGAGTACAAAAGTGGGTATAAGAGTACAAACATCATTTTTTACATAAAATACTCTCAACTTAATTGTGAATTCAAAAGTACTGAATATATGTTGTAGACACATATATTACCTCCTTGGGTCATTCTTTTTGCACACAAAATTTGTACGTAAATGTACATTGCACACATACACAAATAATTGACAAATACGTAGTAATTACTAATTTTTAAGCGAATCACCTGTACAAACAGACGAATAGAATGTGTACAATTTGTATACTAATTTTGTGTACAAATGTAATTTTCCTACCTCCTTTGACGAAAAAATTGGTGTGAATGTAGTGATATGCTTCTTACCAAACTTAGATTCTTTTTTTAGCTTAGTGAATAGATTCGTTTTTTAATGATGGGAATATGATATTGGCTTCTATAGTTCTATACTTCTATAGTTATCTATTACTCGTATCAACAAAGTTCAATAAGGTGATAAACAAAAGTATCTTTAGTTTGTACAAGTAATAATGGTTTTCGGCCTATCACCCTTTTTCTTAAATTTTTGAAAAGAATTCTCGAATACCAAAGAAGACCTATATATCAACTTCTTTGAAGAGAAAAGCGGAAAGAAACCCTTTTTCTCTCTAGCCTCTAGCTAATAGCAAAACCCTTGAATCCTTGATAGATCTTCTCTTATTTCATACTACGTATGAACTTATGAAGAGAAATTATTCTTACTAATCAGTTCAAGGCTAGGAAAAGTCAAAAGGTCAAACGTGGTGTTCGATCTATAAGGGAGGGAAGGTGGATAAGAGGCATGGAAAGCGACCACTTCCGGTGGAAGCGCCGCCGCAGGAGAAAAGCGGCGAGTTCCAATCTTACCCCGCCGCCACCGGTAGCTCTTCCATGTTCTCCGGCTACGCCAGGACAACTGCCGCTGCTATACCATCGCCTACTCCGGCTGCCGCCACCACTCAAGCGCAGGTACGAGGTTAGTATATATCTTTCTTTCATTCATTTATTTTGGGAACAAAAAGATTGGATCTCAGATCAAATAGGACAAAATAAGTAAGGGTATTAATATCATGAATCATATCCATATCTATTTATCTATCTATTTGTCATACTTTTTTTATGGAAGTCTATTTGTCATACTAAAATTAAAGAAGTGGCAATACATCTCATCCATATTTTTATAATTTATTTATATTTATATATTTATATATTTTTGTATTTATTGTTCTGGATGCGTGTTGACCTTTCTTTATCTTCATATATACTCCGTATATTGATTTTTTATTATTGTTTTAGTTCTTATATACTACTCCGTATGATTGAAATTTCAAGAACAGGACCCCATTTTTTTTTAAAACTGTGTGCGTTTAAATTATGTGCGTTGTACGGTTCTTTTAAAACTAAATGAGAATTAATATTTTAGTTTATAAAATCACCTATATTTTATTCATATTTGCGTTGATGTGCGAGACTTTATTCTAAATTTGGAAACATAAGGTATGTTTATTTTTTCGTTTTTGCACCTATCCTTTTAAGAAATAACAAAAATTTTACCTCGTACTTAATAAAACAGTAAACAAAAACATACAGTACAAAATTAGCAAAATACAGCACAACTTTATATTATTGCTAAGTATTACGGAGTAATTAAATACATAAATAAAAATAATAGTTACTTTTAACGAGATTCATAACAAGCTAAGAGCAACTCCAACAAGCACTATCTTCAACACCAAAATGGTGGATTTGGCAAAAAAATGCTCCATTACACCAACAATGACACCAAACTTTACACCATTACACCAAAATGGGGGAGAGGGGATGGCTTTACGCCATATATGGCGTACGCCATTTGTAGCACCATTCTCTTTTTGTAATTTTTTTTCTTTCAAATGTGACCAAAAGTTTTGATTATTATAGTTTTGACCCATTTTTAAAACAACAAATTAGGATGTTTTACTTGGATTGAAATTTGTTGGTCCGGTCTAGTCTGATATGGTCTGGTCTGAATTGATGTGGCTTGGTCTGATTTCTTTGTATTTTTATAACTACCCAAGTTTGGTCTAATCCGGTCTGATCTGATCTGAAACAAATTACAGTCCAAGTAAAAATACATATTGAAATGATGTATTTTAGTTTGTATGTGTGAAATAATGTGTGAAATGTCAAAATATTAAATGAGGGGCTAATGTATAAATATAAGATAGTTAGATACTTAAATAGAATAATGGTAAAAAGTTAGTAAAAAGAATAAAAAGAGAATATTCTTTTTTGGTGATGAAAATGGTGTAAAATGTGGGAGATAAAATAATGTTTGTTGTGATGTTTACACCATTTTAGTGTAAAAAATGGTGTTAACTGTTGGAGATGGCCTAAGATTGTTAAAAAAATCTCTTACGCCTTAAATATACTTACGTTTATCAAAATATAGATAGATAAAACTAATAACATTCATTACTTAAAAAATAAGAATAATAATAATAAATAAATTATTCAGTCTATATAAATAAACATCAAGTCTTATTCTCCGTATTTTATTAATTAAAGTTTTAATTCTTCAAGTCAAAATTAAAATTTTGGAAGCTAAGATAATTCTTAATTATATGTATTAATATAAATATGTTACATAAATTATAAAATATTTCCGAAGAGAAAAAATTTGTTCAAAATCATATGATATATTATCATTGATTATGTTGCATTGATTTTTTTTTATTTACAATTTCTGGCACTAATGATGAACCCTGATATCTAATTCGCTAGTTATTGATATTCCATTAGGGTTTTACAAAAGCCAATACCTTTGAAATAACAATGACATTAATCAAGGATACTTTTTAATTGTAATGATTTCAATCTCATATCAAACAGGATCAAATCACATTTAAACAATACTAAAGTACACATGAATTAGAAAATTATAAAATTAGATCGGATTTAAATAGATAGACTTAAAATTTCAATACAATTAAAAAAAGCATCTCAATGTTTGGAATAGTGATTCATAGATTTGATGTTTCCTTGAGATTGATTAACTAAAACAAGTTCTTACCACTTTTACTCCTCTGACGGTAACGTCAGACGTGAATGACATTTTTGGTACTCAATTTTGAATTTTTTCCATTTTCTGTCTTTTGATATTTTCATATTTAGTATTTTGGCTTTCATAAAAGTGTTACTTTTGACCCTTCAACTATTATATATTGATATTTTTAGTCTTCCATTACTATGAAAAAATCATACGGAGTATATAGTAGAAGAATGTAAAATATCAAGTTGACAATATTAAGGGGACAAAGTGAAAATTCAAACTTGAATAGTAAAAATAATGTCATCAACACTATAATTGGAGAACTAAAAATCTAATCAAAACTCTCGATATTTTGATTTAATTGTCTTTTAAACATTTCAATGAATATCAATTATATTAAAAAGTTTGTATATTCAAGTATCATACATGAAAAATAAAAGTAATGAATAAAAATATGACTCAGTGACTACCATAATTGTGTTCAACTCTATCACTATAGTAACTATGCATAGTAACTATAGTAATATTTTTGTCCTTTATTTATATTTTAATTATATTTATGAAAAAATCTTTATCATACATACAAACAACAACATCCAAACCTTAGTCCCAAAAGATATTGAGGTTGACTAACATGAATCGATACATGATATCACCACCAAAAAGAAAAGAAAGAAAATAAAGATAAAAAAGATAAGCTTTTATGAAAAAGATAATATAAAAAGAGATGAATATACCTAAAATGATAAAATAAAAAGGATTAAAATAATGTTTATATATAAGGAAAAAAGGATTTAAAAAAAATAGATGAGGGGAAAAGGTAATACGAGATCACTCTTACACACGAATACTCGCCGCCCTCCACTTTGCTCTCTCCAAAGTCATACCCTCCTCTAACCCAAGAAGAATCATATCACTTCTAACCCAAATTTATCATACATACTTAATTTTATTTCGTGTTAGTTGATTATATTTTCATGGACGCATGGAGCCAAGCCCCCTCCCCCAATAAAAATGAATAGTAGCCATATATTTGTATTTATATTTATTGTCCTAGTAAGTGATTATTGCAACCATTGAGTCGTTATGTATTCAATGAATGATGGATATATATGTAGTGTTTGTTCCATCTAAAAAAGAATCATGTTTGATTAATAAAAGTATTTTTATTTTTGATGAGGTACAATCATTATTAACCGGGCCAGGGCATGTATTTTTGGGAATTCCATTTATGGTTCAATGAAATTGAACGTATCATATATCTTCTACTCCCTCCATCCCAGACTTTGCCAATTTTCCCCTTATGCTTGTTCCAAAAAACTGTCACTTTCTTAAAAAAAACCACTAATTTGTGTTTTCACACATTTTTATCTCCTCTATACAAATCTCAACTACATAATTTTTACTATTCTTATTTCTCACCTACTTTGTACTTGGTAAAGTCTACCTGGAGAGAGGTAGTAATTCTTTTCTATATATTTTTTGAAATGTTTTCAAAAAGTGAGTACTCAAACTGTCATCAGACAAGGCCGAGAGTGTTAATTAGTTATTTCGGTATGGTTATTCAGCTTTAAGTTTGTTTAGTCACTTAGTGTGTACTTCGTATATCTGAGTGCCTATTATATACGGAGTGGAGGGAGTGATAACAAAGATATTTTTAGCTTTTTGTACCGAAAAAGAAAGATAAGACAATCTTAACAGAGCGGAGGGAGTGATAGCAAAGATATTTTTAGCTTTATGTATATAACAAATATATATCAATATAGTAGTGAAAAGAATGAACTTCCAAAATAAAAGTATTACTCCTATGATTTTTTCTTTAACTATTCTGTTTGAAAGCAATTTCCAAACATTTTAATAGGTATTCGTATTAAGGGAAATACAGTATTTCATTTTTAAAATTATATTCTCCACTTATTCTACTCATATTTAAGGCAATTTACAATTGTACATACGTATTATTGATGTTATTATTATTCTTAGTAATAAAGTTTGGGTACCTCGTCCGTAAAGAGGTTATTTGATTGAGGTTCATTGCATGAGACTTAAGTTTCCGTAAAGAACCTTCTCTCTGTTTGTCTTATTATGGGGACAACTTTAGTTAAAATTATTATACAAATACTAATTTTGTTGTTTTGCAAAAAGAATGGTCATCTGTATTTTGAATTATTTATTAGAATTTCTCCTGGTTTTAAACCTTTTCGTAATGCCAAAATAGCTCGATTACCAGCTTTCCTAGTCGTTTTCCCACGTCTTAAAATTATATCCAAACTTATTATTGTATTCTATCATCATTATCATTCGGAATCAAACAAATGTCCCTTAATAATTTGTAGAGATACACTTTCCTTATCACCAAGCAAACTTATAAATAAAGTAATCGGTCAATATTATAGACTTGATCATCGATCATGTGCTCCATGTGGATGTCCATACTGTGTTCCGCTAATTTGTTTATTCTTTGACTTTGTTTATAGCGTTCATACTAGCTAGTTTCATTTGAACACCAATATTCTATTCATATGATCGAAACGATTATTTAAATCTTTCCTTACATAAATTAAAAGTATGTTAAACAAATTTATCATTTATATTTGTGTGCATCATTAATCAAAGAATAGGTACACTCATCTACTTGACAGGATCCGGAGAGGGATGTATAATTATACTTATTTTGATGAAAAATGATGATCGAGGATTGAATTGAAGTAACTTAACTCACTAAGCTATAAGACACTATATCAAACTACACTTGAAGATTGCCTCCAATCGTTTAACTTTACTCATTTAAGATCTTATATTGATTCATGTTATTGATTCATCATTTTACCCACTCTCAAGTGATCCAACAATGCTTAGTGCACACAAAGTGTACTTACTTTTCAGTGTATTTTATCTGTAACACAAACATTTATAGCCTACACATTATTAGACAATTCGCCCTCGTGATATAGACAAAATGAACAAATAGCATTTTTGAAAGTGGTCGTATCACTTTTTATCCAACCGGTTTCCACTGATGCAGGGATATATATTTGTGCCATGTGTGTAAAAATGTGTGTTAAATTATCGATATTATTTAATACGTAACATTTCATAACTTCTAGAGAAGATATCTTTTAAAAAAACTTCCTAGAGAAGATACCAATAAGATGTAAAAGAAAATGTTTCGACAAGCAGTAAAGACACACTTTCAAAATAAGGTGGATGCAGTTCTTTTGAATGTGAATTCATATGGTAATATATACTTCGTACTACGTACTCCGTATCTAGTTTCTAACACCAAGGTTTTATAATAGTATGCGTTACTTAATACATAAATATGAAAAGACATGACATATACACAAAACATACACATGAAATAATGATAAAAGAATACTATGATATACTCCTATAAAAGTAATATACGTACCAAAACTAGCATACTTAATTAATGCACAATTATCGCATTAGTCTACGGGTAGTGAGTATAGTGTCTATGAAGACTATGATGATGTTCTAATATTTATTTGTCTTGTGTATTATTGAAGGAAATGCGAGACCACATTATAGAGGGGTAAGGCAGAGGCCATGGGGAAAATGGGCAGCTGAAATAAGGGACCCTAAGAAGGCAGCGCGTGTTTGGCTCGGAACATTTGACACGGCTGAGGACGCCGCACTAGCATACGACCAAGCCGCTCTCAAATTCAAAGGCACCAAGGCTAAGCTCAACTTCCCCCAAAGGGTTCAAGGCAAGTCCAAAGTATGCTTCATCGGCCCTGGCAGCGGAGGCGGAGGAGCTTCCTCCGCCTCTACTCCTCAAATCCCTAGCGGCAACCAACAGTTGCGGATGACGATGTCATCACAGCAGCAGGATGCCGCTTACCCTTATCTCCAACAATACGCTCAGCTTCTTTCAAGCTCCGATGCGGAATTCCCTTACTTGACTTCGGCTCTCTACAATCAAGCTACCTTAATGCAGCCATCAGGACTCTCTCCTCCTCCAACTGCGGCAGAGCCGCCTCATGCGCCGCCGCAGCGACAAATGCAAGATCAATATTACTCACAATATTTTGCCCAGTTCGAGAGCATTCAGGACTCTGAGTATCAAAGTTATGGTGGCATGGGTTTTAACTATGCAAACAACCCAAATGAGAATATAGACTAAAGTTGAAAACGAGCGAAGCCTTTTGTTTTTTTTGCAAGAGTGCATGTGTATTTATTGTAATTCACAGCAATTAGCAAGCTAAGGCTTGCAATGCACGATTCTGATGGCTTGTTTACAGTTTACTGCTGGAATGGATACGATACTCAATATTAGGGTTATTGTACCAAATGCTTGTAGATGGTTGACATGACTGTAAGACATATTTTAAGTGAACAAAAATGCTTGTTGTATCCACCAATTGTACACACTTTGTACCCACTATATAAAGACCATTTTTTTTACCGCCCATCACCCTGCATCTCTCTTTTTCCCTCTTCCATTTCTCATCGCCATTTCTTTTCTTTCTCTCACCCCTTCCCCCAAATCCCTAGTCCCACATAGCAAAGCTCCTTCCCCATCGTTACTTGTCCTGACCGCATTCATTTCCGTCGCTCTTCTTCACCTACGCCCGCCTTCACAGTCACCTTCCTCACCCAAGAAAATTGTCCACTCGGGTAGCAGAAGCTTGAAGACCAATGAATGATGCTCTTGCGGCTCGAACTGATGCACATGGTGTCACGCCCCAGACCGAAATCCAAGCGCGTGTACAACCGCCGTATAATCAAGTGACGTCACCCGCGAGTCAACCTCACTTAATTACACAAGGCGTTCGAGAATATAAACCATCCATACTCAGTAGTAAACATACGTAACAACATCGCATTTAAACCAATGAATAACGGAAATATTCAACGGTAAGTCATAAGCCACAACCGGCCAACAACATGGGCATGCAAGCCCCAAAAGTAGTTTATAACAAATGAAAATATCCATGAGCAATGTTTAGTAATTTGAAAGGAAATGAGGAAGCACGAACCACGTCTTCCTTGACTTGATGTCACCCGTAGAAAGGTGCAGGTAGCAAGCCCTAGCTTCAACCTGAAAATGGTGGGCCCCCCCGAAGGGGTCAGTACAAGTACCGAGCGAGTAGCAGGCTAAATATAGAATAACTAGCGTTTCAAGTATAAGACCCAAACATAGGGTGATACTTAAATAAATAGTCCTTTCCCCAAGTTATGAAATACTTATTAGCATATATATACTTGGAAAATATACGATCCGTAGATCACCATTTTATTTGGGAAAAATAGTAATAGTCAATATTCTTGACTAAAAACCCCAACCCACCCATATACCTATGAGTGTATAGGACTCCTCCTTGTCCCTACTTGTATATCACAATCTATGAGTTTTAGGATCATAATCCTTGGATACTCCACCGGTTTGTGAGTGTTAAGGACTCATAAGTCCTAGGGTCCTCCACCAAGTTTTGAGTGTTAAGTACTTTTAAGTACTAGGGTCCTCCACCAAGTTTGAGTGTTAAGGACTTTTAAGTCCTAGGGTCCTCCACCAAGTTTTGAGTGTTAAGTACTTTTAAGTACTAGGGTCCTCCACCAAGTTTGAGTGTTAAGGACTTTAAGTCCTAGGGTCCTCCACCAAGTTTGAGTGTTAAGTACTTCTTAAGTACTAGGGTCCTCCACCAAGTTTTGAGTGTTAAGTACTTTTTAAGTACTAGGGTCCTCCACCAAGTTTTCCTATGATCAACCTCCTATCAACCTAGATAGAGTCTATATCATCCTTAGTTACTCATAACTAATCCAATACATAAATCTTATGTATCACAATCCATGCAAAACCATGCATTTATATAGGTTTATAATTAATTAATACCAACCGGTATTAATTTAATCCTTTGTTCTTCGGTCCACGTTTTCGTTGACCGCCATTTCATGCCTTGTGTGTATCAACTTAATCATCATATAATTAAGTTAATAATATTCATTTGTGCTTCCAATACACTTCAAGCAAATATGCATTTCATATAATTCTTCATATCACATTCCATGCATCAACAATTTATTTCTTTCACACAAACTTAACCCTATTGGCTAATCACATGTTTAAATATCTTTTAAACATTATTATGAACTCATATAACATTTATTTAGGTAATCTCATAATTAACCCAAAAGTTATAAGATATTAAGCCGTCCACTCACCTTGAACTAGCGTATGAAGTTCTACCCTTCTTGGTTGAACTCCGATGAAACTCCGGCGACTTTTGGTCAACTCCGGCGACAACTCCGGTGACTTTTCCAACCTTGTGAAATCACTTGAAATACCTTTCACAAGTTCCTAACAAGGTTTTATAATCATAAAACCCATATTAATACAAATAACCTCAAAACGGTTATTTTCCGGTGAACCGGTCGTTTTGGCTTCTAAGTCCGTTCTTGGACATAGAATCACTTTCCAACCCATTAATCCATACTTATAACATGTGGAACCATACTAAGGGTCCTTCACATGATATATACCTCATATGGTAGAAAGAAAAATAAAGAGAAGTTATAATAAGGTCATTACCTTAATTATTCACACTTTTCCCCACTTTTTCCCTCTTTAATCCTCTCCTTTGGACCCCTTTTTCCTTGAGCTCGTGCTGCAACAATGGAAGATAGTTTGAGAGCTCTCTCTTGCCTCTCCTTGGTGCTTTGGTCGAGTACAATGATGAAGGAAGAGGGGGATGGGTTCTTTTTGTCCCATTGAGCTAATAAGGGTGGGAGGGACCCCTTTGATGTCACCAATTGTCTCACCCTCCCATCAAGTGTACTACCAGCTATCATCTAGTCAATTTGAGCATATAAAAACGTGGGGTGGCCCCCACTCATGTGGGAGGTCATCCCTTTGTGTCCCGGTGTATACAATCGGTCCCGAAAGTTGTATTTTTCGGACTGTTTTAATCATATTTTATTTTATCGGGAAAGATAAAATATATTATGTTTTCTCAATCATAACGCCCCTTTGAAATAATATATATTCCAAAAATTTAATTTGGAAGTCTTCGAAATTCATTTTCGGACTGTTATCCGTTAAATTACCAGTACCGGTAATTTGGGCTTCATTTGACCAATCGGTCAACTCCGGGTCTTTCCATGGCCCAGATGAAATATCCACCACTATATATTTATTATCTAGACCAAGATGAATAAAATATATAGTCTCGGAGATGTCGGGCCGCCCCCCCCGCTCCCGGTGTGGGTCCCACGTGCAATTTACTATTCATGCGAAAGAAATAATAAAAATTTACAACTTCGTAAATTCATTAATCCTTTAATAAGGTTCAATACATTATTTACATAAAAGTAAATATATTTGGGGACGGTGTTACAAGTTCACCCCCCCTTATTTGGGATTTCGTCCCCGAAATCCAAGTATCTAATCGAAAAGAAATGGGTATTGCTCCCTCATTGAGACCTCGGTCTCCCAAGTTTCTTCTTCGACTCGATCACTCCTCCACAGAACCTTTACCATAGGAATCTCCTTATTCCTAAGCTTCTTCACTTGTTGACCAACAATCTTCACTGGTTCCACCGCATATTGCAAGTCCTCACGGATCTCTACCGGTGGTTTCTCAAGAACATGAGATGGGTCTCGTATGTACTTCTTAAGCATTGATACATGAAACACGTCATGTATCTTCTCAAGTTCAGGCGTCAACTTGAGACGGTAAGCCACGGCCCCTATCCTTTCAAGGATCTCAAACGGACCTATGTATCGGGGGTTAAGCTTCCCCCTCGATACGAATCGGATGATGCCCTTCCAAGGGGAAATCCTTAGGAAGACCTCATCACCGACTTCGAACTCCAACGGTCTCCGCCGTTTATCAGCATAACTCTTCTGTCGGTCCTGAGCGGCCTTCAGTCTATCCTGAATGATCCTCACCTTGGCCTTGGTGATCTCAACCAGCTCTATCCCTTCGAGTTTGGCCTCGCCAACCTCGTCCCAACACAACGGTGTTCTGCACTTCCTCCCATACAATGCCTCATATGGAGGCATGCCGATACTTGCCTGATAACTGTTGTTATAGGCAAACTCCACTAGGGCCAAATGCCTGTCCCAACTTCCTTGGAACTCCAAAGCACATGCCCTAAGCATGTCTTCCAAAATCTGTATCACCCGCTCGGACTGTCCATCCGTCTGTGGGTGAAAAGCTGTGCTAAACTTCAGTTTAGTCCCCAAAGATGCTTGAAACTTTGGCCAAAATCGGGATGTGAATCGTGGATCCCTATCCGAGACAATGGATATTGGGACTCCATGTAATCTTACAATCTCCTCCGTGTATAGCTTGGCCAATCTTTCAAGAGGGTAAGTGATGTTGATAGGCAGAAAGTGTGCACTCTTGGTGAGCCTATCAACCACTGCCCATACGACATCGTAGTTGTTCACTGTTCGTGGCAGCCCCACCACGAAGTCCATGGTCACATGTTCCCACTTCCACTCTGGGATGGTGAGCGGTTGTAAGAGCCCTGCTGGGTGCTGATGCTCTGCCTTAACTTGCTGGCAAGTAAGGCATCGACTCACAAACTCTGCGATATCTCTCTTCATACCTGACCACCAGTAACTTTCCTTCAGATCTCGGTACATCTTAGTACCTCCTGGATGCATAGCATAAGCTGAAGAATGAGCCTCCTCAAGTATAGACTTCTGGAGTTCCTCATTCTTTGGTATGCATACACGATCCTTAAACAATAATAGACCGTCATCACGTACTCGGAAGTTCTCAACGGGTCCTTCAAGGATTCTTTCACGGATCTTCTGACATTCTTCATCAATGGCCTGACTTCGACTAATCTCATCCAATAGGGTGGGCCTAACCTCAAATTGAGCAATGAGAGCCCCGCACGTGGACACCTCCACGCGTGCCCTCAATGCATGCAGACAAGTAAGCAACGTCCCTGACGTACTCTTCCTGCTCAGTGCGTCGGCCACTACGTTGGCCTTTCCGGGATGATAGTCGATGATCAAGTCATAGTCCTTGATCAACTCCATCCATCTCCTTTGTCTCATATTCAACTCTTTTTGAGTGAATACATACTTCAAGCTCTTATGATCGGTATAAATGTGACATGTCTCCCCGTAGAGATAATGCCTCCAAATTTTTAGTGCAAACACTACCGCCCCCAATTCTAG